TCTTCTTATATTTAAGATTGTTTAAACATATATACGTTGGATTAAACGTTACATACTTATTATCATACTTCCAATTGAAAATAATTTAGATATATTTTGATTTTGTATGTTCACATGTTAGACCCAGGACTAGGGTCTAGCCCTCCTACACCTGTGCTCTCTCTCTCTCTCTCTCTCTTTCTATATATTACCTATCTTTGTGTGTGTGTTTGCATGACAGACATGAGGCGACGAGATTCTTTCTCGAGTCGTAAACAATACTGCAAAGGAGAGATCTTCCCAGAAGATCCGTACTCCGGGGGAAGAGGAGAAAACTTGACGTGACTCTTCTTGCGAAAGCTCGATTTATATTTCTTTTGCTCGAGAAAGATGAACCGAGATTAGAATTATGTCAAATATACGAATGACAGCACACTTTCGTTTTTCTCGAGGACCGTCGATACTATGAATTTCTTGTCATTGCATATTTCTAATCTAAAAGTAGATTGTATTGAATTTCTATTTAAGACTCGACGTAAAAAAAATAACGTTTACATTCGACCACGTTATTCCTTCGCATTTACTACACAGATACGAAAAAAGGAGAAAGGTTCGAACGTAAGAAAAAGATTAATATTGACTTACAATTAGTATATTTTTCTTCATGCAGGAATGCAAATAAGAAGAATCTAACTCAAGTCAATCTTCGATCCTTCAAGGTGTAGTTCTACGATCGTATTTTTAAACAAGAAGACGCTACCTGAGATTTATCTGGCAACTTTCGAAAAGCAATTGACAATGTGTAAATTAGTCGTTGTAATGTGTATACTAAATCATGGTGTTGTATTTGTAATTAGCATTTCGTCTTTACGATAAGAAAGTCATAGTCTCTCCTTCATCTTTGACTTTCTCCTCTTGGAATTTACGTAACTCGCATCAGCTTCCTTTGCGCTCCGTCAATAAATGACAAATGAACGCATAAAGGAGTACAATCGTATTCATAAGAGTCGCTTACGACGTCAAATACTCCTTTCCATTGACTTCAACGACGACGACGACGACGACGACGACGACGACGACGACGACGCATTAACGCTGCCAACGAGCCATATATTCTTACTTACTTACATACATACATACATACATACATACATTTCTTTATCTACAATATATATAGGTACGTAGGATAGGATTTTCTTTATTTTCTTTATTTTCTAACCGTGACACAAATCCTACATCACTGCAATTAGCATAACCATTGACTCGCGGTCAAAGCGAACACTTTCATTTATTTGTTTATTTATGCAACCGAATTTCAGAAAAAAAAAAAAACATTCCAATTGTATTTCTTTTGATATCCTTACGACGTCGTCACATTTCGATTCAGCGAAACATGCATAGAAATGCAGCTTGACATAGAAATTTGTGCTTATTTCTAAGCACGATGTTAGTCATTCCAAGAATATTTCTCGTGGTTTCATAATTATATATACTTTTTGCTATTTGCATAAGATAGAGATTAGATAAAAGTTGATGTCGCTATTCTAGTCTTTATTTTAATGTGGCTTTTTGGTGCTGACCCAAAGAAAAAAAAAGTATTTTCAACGATTGTCTAATTATAACGAGTATCGTCACGAACGCGGTCCCACATGACAAACTCGAGTTAAATGATTAATTATATAATGGCACGCAGGTCTACGGCCGCAGGAATACGCGAGGAGAGTATCCGTTGCGGATTACGTAGCACGATTACGAATCGCGGACACGTACGAATGCAGCAGGATGCCTCTCGATGCCTCTCGATGCCTCTCGATGCCTCTAGATGCATCCTGCGTACGTACGAGCCATTGCACTCTCTCGACCGTTCTACCCTACTACACGACTAATCTCTCTCCTGCTCTCTCCTTCTCTCTCCTTCTCTCTCCTTCTCTCTCCTTCTCTCTCCTTCTTATCCACTCAATTGCCTTCTAGCTATGATTTACCGATCGAACTAACGTTCCTAAGCTTTCTCTTGCTAACGTTTTTCGACTGCTCTTACTACTATTGAAAATTCAATATTTCTAATATGTGGTAATATCGGTAAAGTATCTGCTAAGTATTTGAAAGGAAGGTGAAATAAGAATCACATATTTGTACAATCACGCGTGAGTGATCGCGAACGATTCCAAATAGGTTTCTACGACGACAGATGGTTCGGCATTACTATTCCTGATTAATTAAAGCTCTTCCAGTAGTAGGTGCGATGCCGGTGACGCGGTTTCCTCTTTAATGAGGAAAAGTGGTACTCGATATATAACATACCGATTGAGTAGCCACGCGCGATCTATCGCTTCTCAGACTTCAGTTAACCCTAGAAGGAAAACATCGGAGAGCGAATGGCATCCAAAGGATCTCAGCGTCAATTAAGCAAGAGTTGCGAGACAAGCTTAGACATATACTTGGCACAATCTGCATTTACCGCGTCGAGAATTACAACAGTTGGAAGATTGCTTGCATTGCTCGTCCTACAAAATATACGACTTCTCCAAGATCTTATTATACTTTATTCGCCCTATTTCTGATTGTTCCTTGATAGAAAAACATTTCCGGAATTATTCAAAGTCGATATTGCTTGCTTGCTTGCTTGCTTGCTTGCTTGCTTGCGTAGGACGTATTGCCCTGTATAGAGAAAAATCTAACCCGTTACGCGCTAAAACTACTTCCGGTATTATTCGTCATCTACGAGAGAAGAAGAAGAGGGAGGAGGAGGAGGAGAAGGAGGATCGTGAACTCACAGCTGAGCGGGTCTTTACACTGCATCGGATTACCTTCCTGGATTCATTCACTTCGGAGTCACCTCACATCCGTGGCGGTGCAGTGACGTGCCTGCCGTACAGTCGGTAGAGAAATTTCTATTTCTATTATTACCTTATGGATATTAAATATCCACGAGCCTACCACACCTCCCTATACCCCAGGTACCACCTTCAGTTAGGATGATGCGAACTTTCCGAGAAGATATTCAGACATCGACGTGATTAGTATTTTTCTCCAAATAAATGAAAGTCTCTTAAAACGATTTCCGAGGTTATAGGGATCCTGTCAAGGGTTGTTATTTGACTCGAGTACGTTATCCTTGGTTCATCGTTCTATGCCTTTTACGATATCACGGTCCTTCCTGTGGCTCGAGTCAGAAGAGCGCCATAATTCCAGCTTACGTTCTCGCGTGGCGGAATGTCTCCCGGCGAAATGTTCCACCGCGAGGAAGAGGAAGAAGGGAAGGTAAAGGAAGCGGCCCGAGAGATCCGCCAAAGGCCGAAGGCCCCTTCCAACGAGTTGGTAGAAGATGAAGATACCTTCCGGGAAATTCGATCGGCATTTCGTTCGTACGGCATTTCGTTCGTACGGCATTTCGTTCGTTCGGCATTTTGTTCTTTACGATCGAAAGTGGCAAGAGGTAATCATTAAGATACACAACTCTAATTCATCAGTTAGTTCTCTTGGAAGTAGCTTATGCGCAAACATCCAACTGTAGCAAACTTGTAGACTATAGAAAAGGGCGTGGGCATAGAAGAGAGAGGTATCATCGAAAATGGCGACAAGCTGCAAAAAGAAGAACGTAACGCGTACTTTATTCGATCCAATCGGATCTTTCTTCTTCTCATCATAGGTTCGATGACTCTCCAGGGTGATTCTTCTTCTACTACAACTACTACTCGGTCGGTTCCCCATCCCACGCCCGAGTTATCATAACCACTGGCGTCCGTCACGCACCACTCGGCACTTTATGCCTGCGAGTCCTCGTGCCGCTCGTCATCGCGTAGGGTAAACGTCCTTTATTTCGTTATTTCTCCTTAGAAAAACAGCAGCTCTTAAATCGATACAGGAAGAGGAGAATATCTTCTTCAACGTTTTTCACGATTTCGATCGAGAGATTTTAAGCTATTCTATGCTGAAGGCTATCCGTTAACTCCGTCACATTTCCAGCACAAACGCCCACGCAATCAAAGTCGCCTCTTAACCGATCCTAACCAATCCTAACCAATCCTAACCGATCCTAACCGACAGAGGCGTAAACCTCGGCCGGCTTTCAGATCGGACTTGTCTTCCGGAGAAACTCTGAGAAATCTCCCCTTCCACTAGATGATCAATCAATCTCTCGTCTCCGCCATCTCTCTAGCGGAAGTGAAACGTTCCTTTGGCAAGCGCCGAGCGCCAAGGAATCTGATCCTAAAGGGACGACCGATTAGTTTAGTAATGAGCTTAGTAGCGTATAAAGTTACCTTCGACTATTTTCCGCAATGACGCTTCGATAAGCGTCCATTGCAAACACTGAATTTTTAATTTTCAATGTTTCTAATAATAATATGCCGATACGCGAGCGACATCGTTTTCTCCAACGCATCCAAGGTAGAACCTGTTTGCGTTATTATTATTTAACGGGTCCGCCTCGATACCGCTCAAATCTAGCAATATTTCTAAGAGAAATCCAGTTTTCCTCTATAGCCAAAGGTTTCATTAAGATACTGCAGCATTTCCTCGGATTGTTCTTCGGCACTTTGCGATCTGCTGTTAGTCACTGGTTAGCGGTACTACCGGTCGCGATCGACGGGTCGCGTGTGCACGTTGGGCAGGTGCATCGACAGCGGTAAATGGCAGAGATTACTTTGGAAAGAAGAAGATTCATCCTGGTCGTTACTCTCTCTCTCTCTCTCTCTCTCTCTCTCTCTCTCCACTTATCTCTCTCCACTTATCTCTATTATTTATCTATCCTTCAGGTGTCAAAATTAATTCGATACCTTTCTTTTTAACTTGCAACTTTTATTACAAATACTAACTATAGGATTATTTTTATGAAAGTATATTCACCGTTATTTTCTACAGTCTATTACCATCTAGTTAGTGGGTAACTTGTAAATATCATCTCCGTAGAATGACTATGAAATTTTCTATGCATTTTCGAACCTCGACTTTTGGAGATTCACTTCCCCGACAAATAGTCCAGCCCTTACGATGATCTTTAATGAATTCTTGTCTTGCAGATGGAAGATGGATAGCGAATGAGATTCATCGTCAGAAAGACGACTAATCTGGAAGATGGGTAACAACGGTAGTTCCCATCAACAGTGTCCCTCGAATGGGTTATCTCAAGAGATGGCTCGAGGATGGACTCAATCCTTCCCACGGGAACTGACGAGACACCACTCGCAACCGCCTGGACATAAGGTCCTCCCAGAGCCACCCAACCAAAGGCTCCGTGCTACCAATAATGGTAGTATTATCCACAACGGCGGGACCATAAGTGGACGCAGACCTTCGGCGCTGACGTTGCCACACGATCTTAATAAGGTAACCAACTGTGTTTGCGCATGTGCCTTCCTCTCTCTTTCTCTCTCTCTCTCTCCCTCTCTCTCTCTCTCTCTCTAAAATCTAATATAGACATTTAGTCATATTCTAATAAAAGAACAGTTGATCTTGAAAGATATCGTGTACTTTAAACGTTGACATATAGTAATGATAATATATTTTTTTTTTTTTTATCGTTTTTGTATGATTCCAAATAAATTAGGTTCGAAGAAAATTTGTGACGAACCAGGCGGTGCATCGATAACCCGGTTAAGCGTTCGTTTTAGAAAGCCGTTTTTTACTAGAAACCCTCGGAATGTATTACATGACCTTCGAAATACTCCGTTATTTCATTATTATACTAACAATAGGTCTTGTTGAATTTTTTATAAATTTGCCTCGTTACGTGATAGTTGAATTAAACGCATACTCGATTTCATTTCAAGAATTTGGAATCGATAGTATCTAATAAATATGTATTGACCCTTTCTCTATTTAGCAAGGGGTCTTTCGTAGTAGAAGTACTTCGGCATCAAACATCGGCATATCTAGATCACGCAAGTCCGATCATCACTGTTGTCATTATCAAAGTGATACTCATTGTATGGAAAATGAAATGCAAGAATTGAAAAGATTTGGTAGTGAGCCAGACTTGAGGTATTCTCCAACGGAACGGTCCAATACGACAAGTAGGCAACGACACGGTTTAGAACGTCGTCATTGTACCGGTTATTATCCCGAAAGAGATTCTAAAGAACGGGAGAGTCGATATAAAGGCAAGAAAAAGTACAAAGCGCCAGCACCACCTGGTAATGTTATGGCTGACGGTTCCTCGCCCGATTCTTACAAATGGGAACTTGGCCAGGATGGTCGTTGTAAACACGAGGAAGAAGTTCAGCCGCCACCCAGAAAGTCACGGCTTTTTAAAACAAGAGCGGAAACGAAAAGGGCACAGATCAATTGGATGTCCAACTCGTCGTCTACCCAATCCCACCAAGAACGTAATAACGAGGCAGCCCTCGAAAACGAAAGAAGATGGAGGAACGAACGCGAAAATAATAAAAGGCCATCCTGGCGGGAACAGGATCAACAGCCGCAGCCACAGCCGCCACAGCAGCAGCAGCAGCAGCAGCAGCAACAACAACAACAAGATCAATGGTGCAGGGACGAGTTGAGACGTTCGAAAAGATTCGATGGAAAAAACACGCTTCAAAGGAGTATGAGCAGCCCTGAGTTCCAAGCGGAACTGATGCAAGTAGCTAGGAAAGTGAGAAATAAGTTGAACTGTGGCAGGAAGTCGACCGGTCAGCATGATTTCTCCAATGTCGCGTCCGCGTCCTTAGAGCGTAAGAATGTAGAGCTTTCAAAGAGTACGAAAGAAAAGTTGATCAACGAGGAACAAAAAAAGACAGAGAAAAGAAATTCGAAAACAACGACTATCGAGGAACGAACTGTCGAAGGTACATATATCTTTATTTATAAATGAAATTATATACATATATATTTAATATACGAATATTATAATATTTCGATCCTTTCAGATAGAATCATTTCGCGCATGAACGAGGAGAGGAGACTTATAGTGGAGAAATGTAATCGAATGGAAAACAAGACAACCTCGTGCGAGAATCGTAAGAATGATGCGCGGAGGACGAACAAGGAACAACGAGAGGATAATGGAGTAGTTAATAAAAAGAGGAGCGTCGAAGACGAACCTACGAAACAAGGTAGAAAGTCATTAAAAGATAGGCTCGATACGCTTGGACGTTCTATAGAGGAAAGATTTTCGGACAAGCAAAGAAGAGATTTGGAGGATTATCGCAAATCGAGCGATTTATCGAACAATCGAAAATTTGAGGATGTCGTCGATATTGGAAGGACCAGATCGGAGAGTCCAATTAGACATCGCAGCAAAGATAAGTTTGATGTTCGAGGACAAGGATCTGGTAGAGAAAGTACACCAGAACGACAGGAACATAAGAGAGGAGATAAAGAAAATTCAGATCCCAAGTGGTGTAAAAGAGACACCAAAACGAATGACTCGAAGAACATTGACAAAAGATGGTCCGATGGTGAAGTGCTGATACAAAAAATAGATCCAAATGCCAAAGATAAGCTCATGAAAATATCGAACACGAAGGAACCAGTCGAGAACTGGCACATGTAAGATCATTGCCATGAATCTTCATATTTGTTCTAAAATATCAAATCTACAATAGGAATTGTACTTTGCAGATTACCGCGTACAGAAAAGTCAACGCCAAAGACCTTTTATTTTGGCATGGGTGAGGCCTTATCCAAAGAATCGCGAAATAGCGTGGACCAACAAATGCAGCAAATCCAATCGAGACTACAAATTAGAGAAATCAACAAGTCGAACGAATATTTGATGGACGACCGTGACGAAGTAAGTTTTAACGAGCATTGACAAATTGAACGACGATTTGATAAACTGTTCTTTCAGATAAAAAACGGACCAGAAGATATTTCGCTTAAACTTCGACCTACGCTTCCAAAAAAGCAATTAGAAATACCGAGATTTTCTCCTTCAGCAGCATGGAGATTATTGTCCGCGTTAGAAGCGCCCGGTCCAACGATGAGTACCGCTAGCGAAGAGATTCCTGTAAGTGAACTAGAACTTTCTAATAGGAAGGAAGAAACGATCGAACGTTGAATAATTTTGTAAACAATGTAAATTGCAGGTCATGTTTGAAGAAAAGATCGAACGTTTGTCGAGGCCACCTCCACCATTGATAGCTTTGGGACCTCGAAGCTCGCACGATAAATCAGGGGATTCGGGTATATCCGGAGACGCTGGAGCTGGCAACGACGATTCTTTAGACGTTAGTACGATGAACAGAATAAAAACATCGGCAACGAGACCACCCGCATGGACTCCTCAACAAGATTTAGGCGAAGAATCGAGCAGCGATGCTGGCGTAGATTCTCCACCTCCGATTCCGACGCCAATGAAATTTACACCGAAAGCTCACGTGTTCTCTCTCTCTTTGCCACGCGACGACAATAGGATGATGTATCTTTATAATCCCGAAACGAAGGGTAATAAAGAAGGATCCGCGTTCAATTCACTGCAAAAGTTAAAGAGAACGATGTCAGGAGCATTCGGTCTCGGTCCGTTGGATCTCGAAAAGAAACGTTCTGGCGACGTGCTCGATGACAATTGGCTATTGTCCAGTAGTGCACCAACCTCCTTGCAACTCAATCAAATTACGGACGTGACTCGATCCTCGCCTTCTGGATGGAAACAAGACTTCGACGATGAAGACATCGATGGCGATGGCGATGACGATGACATTGATGGCGACGACGATGACGATGACGACGACGACGACGACGAAGACGATGATCAAGAAGATCCTGAAAATAGAAACGACTTCCCTGCAATCATGAAACCTCCGTCTTTTTCTTATTTAGCTTCCGGTGGTCATGTCATGTATCTACCAGAAGCCAACGATACTAATTATCAAGCACAACATTTGAATTATAAGAGCAATGGTCCTTTAAAAAATCATAATTTTGCTAATTCCGCGTTGAAGTATAAAAAGAATATCGTTGATGATCTGAAAAAGTCTTCCACGATCGAGGAAAAATCACGAAAGTCAAAACATTTGAAATCCTATGGGGAGAGATGTTTTCTCGCTGAGAAAAGTATGAATTCGCATAATAAATTTTCCAATTTTTCAAAGTCCTGCGAAAATGTGTCTGAGATGAAACAGAGAAGCACCTCGCCTATCATTGAACAATCACAGAATGTGCAAGACAATAAAGAATCTTCTTCCGAAATCAAAGCACCAATGAAAAATATTTCTAAAGGTAAACGATTTACGTTTCAATCAACTGTTAGACAAATCGAGAGACGTAGGCTAGCCGAGAAATTATCTCGCGAAGCTGAAGCTAAAGAGCATCAGCGAAAAGGAGAGCTCGAAGCTATGAGGAAAGTTGAGGAAGAATTTCAACGGAAACGGGCAAGAGAGAAAGCGAATATTAGACAGCAACTTCGATTATATAATATGGACGAACATCTCAGGTAGAAATTAGATGACTTAATATTTATACGCAACGTACAAGTTACATACTTGATTTTCTATTTAAAACGCTTCGATTTACAGTAGTTTGCCTTCAGCTTGGGACACGTCACAGTTGTCTCGAGCTGATCCCGATGGTGCACCGTCATCGTCAGCCTCGTCACCAACATCTGCTCCACTTGGTGGTACCCTAACGGCGAATCGTAAGAATAGCGTTAGCAGTGACGAACATCATAGAAAAAGAGCAACTAGTTCTGAATCAAGGCAACAACAGCAAAGAGAATACAAAGATTATCGACCGAAATATTACGCTTGGACACCGGAAAATTCATCACATTTAGAGTACAAACAGACTACCGTACATCCAAAAGTCATTTGCGATATTCCCAAAAGTTCTGCAGTATTTGTCGATGCAAATGCCCCCCACGGTCGTGAAAAAGCTACGAATCTAAATTCAACTCCTAGATCTGATAATTACAGGTAACAGCTGTTGTTTAAGCGATTAATATGAATTTCTTGCTATTAAGAAAAATGAATTGTAAAACGCATTTAACAAATGTTCCGTATAATAGAAAGGATTTCGCTCACGGCGCCGTTGCAGCGAGGTCATCCTTAGCTAGCAGCGATAGTGAATTATCGCAACCAAATACCAGGCCACATTCTAGACAAACAGGTGGCAAAGGAAAACCTCTACGTTCTAGGTATGTTCGAGCCAGTCTCCTGTCTTTTCTCCATGCTTAAATACTGGTTAGGTAGCATCGATAATCTTTCAGTTGATCAAATAGGCGAATAAGTAGAACGTTGGAATGGATCTAAGAAGATTCTTTGAATAGACGATTTCATTTCTAAATTCTATTATCGATTATCTTAAACATCTAAAATACTATGCCCAGCAGCATGCTGCATGACCTCATCTTACGCTCATATAACATTTTATCTTTTATTATTGAAAAAGCATATAACACTGATATATTAAAAACGTATAAATTATTCGCAACGAGAGCTCCTACTAATGTTTGGCTTTTGATTTTGATTCCATGCAGGTTTTAAAATGAAAGTAAAGTAAGTAGATTTAACACTTCTAGTCATTTAACAACGCTTTGATTAAAACAAAACAAAACAAAACAAAATAAAACAAAACAAATGCATCACGCTGTTGTACGTGCTTATAAATAATTTACGTATTGGGCTAGAAAAAGGTGTGCCTGCCTATATAAATAATAATACATAGATGGATCATTGGGACCTTGATTGGGATCTTCATTAATTATGATGTAGCTTACGATTATACGAAAGTTTCTCGAAGGGAGAGGTACATAGGGCACAAAGAAAATATAAATGATGCATGTATGTCAGAATCGAAGACAAAAGTGAAAAGAGTGAGAAAACGTTAAATAGGTCGGCTAGCCCAGAACGAAGCGAGGAAGCTGTCAGTTCGGAGGATGAAAGTCCAGTGGAACCAATCAAGCAACAACGAAATCCCATTAATGGCTTTACAATAAACGGAATTCAACCTTTCGTGAGGGAGAAGAGCTATCGACCAATTTCTTTTAACCCTCAACCACCACCCCAGCCCATTCCAAGTTAAATAATACAAACTTTCGTACAAAATGAAAAATTCAATATTTTTGGAAATATCTACAATCACAATTTATAGAATAAACAAGAAACTAGGTTATATGAGATTTAATTTAAAAGAAAAATGTATTTTATAAAGAGAGAGAGAGAGAGAGAGAGAGAGAGAGAGAGAGAGAGAGAGAGAGAGAGATGCTATTTTTAAAACAATATTCAATTCATACGAGTAACTAATGTCAAATAATAATTTATCGTGTAACAAATAACATGATCTAACTCTCCTAACCAAATGTGTTCCATGTAATTCTTGATACACTCGTTTAGTATATAATCTTAAGATATGATAGTGTGATAAGTACAACAACGAATCAAAGATTATTAGCATATGGTAAATACCTTATTGCATTATAAATGAATGCACTCCAACAAAACTGTGTGCCGGAATAATAGTTACATCAAATAAACTATTCCAAATGGTTTAGGGTCCATATTTTGTAATTATGTACAGATAACATGTTCAACAAATTTATACTAATGAATTGTATTCGATTAAATAATTATATTGTTATAAAGATGTCTTTCTTATTCGCATAAATTTAACTATGCACACTGGTAGATGTAATTATTTAACGTAAGTATTAAATATTATTTACTTACAAACATTTTATTTAATATAGACATTCGATTTCAAATTTTGGCGCCATTACGTAGACAATATCAAAAGTACTATCAAGATTAAATGATGTATTTATTAACACTTTTAAATTGTACATTAATCTTGATATGCCATTCTATTAATTATGAACTGACAAATAATTAATTATGTAAACATTAATACATGCACAGTTATATCTAAATGTAAACATATTAAATTTTATTATAGACTCTTTTTTTTTTAACTGACTCGAGTAGTAGATATTACTACTTATTCGTATAATCGAGGATAATTAACGGCAATCAGCAGTATTGTTGTATTAAAAATAAATCAATCTTTTTAATAATATGGAGTACGAAAATGATAAAGAAACGACTTCTTCTGAAAGAACAAATACTATTAAAAAATTAGAAGATCATGTCATGTATGTATGAATAATTTGTCTCTTTTCAAATTCATTTCTACCGCACAAATTTTCAAACCGGTAAAACTATATTGCTTCTTTTTTCTTTGAAATGACAATTATGATATAAATATTCTTATTCTTATGAAGACAATCAGAATTCGAGGCAATGTTATTTGAAGAGACCAGCGACGAGGAGGATTCTGAATCGAGAGAAAAAATAATACAGGAATCTTTTACGGGAAATTTACCGACTGGACAAAGTAGCACTAGTAATGCAAAACGTTTAGAAGATTTAGAAAATAGAGATGAGGCAAGTATCTATTATTGTTTATATTTCAATTGTTTCTACAACATACACAAAATTAATGCTTTTGTTAGATCATTTTATCTTTGATGTGGGTGAATAATCGTTTGGGTGCAGCTTATTACAATATCGTAACGTCAGAGTTATTTGTAATGGAAGATACTCATGATGACACTGTTAATTTTAATATTACAAAGACAATTTTTAAACAATGTCAACCACATTACATTATCACGATACTTGGAATATCCGACGATTTTCTTAATTGTATAAAAAAGCTCGTTATGGTGGATACCGCAGAGGATAATGAAAGTTCTAGCTCGAGCGATAAATCCATTCAAACGATTTTTAAGGCTTTAGCAAAAAAAGAAAATAGTTACGAAACTTGTTATCACAGAGTTCGATGTCTAAAACTCAATTCAGAACCGAAAGATGCTGACAATAATGAAAGAGTTACATTTTTAAATGCTTTGCTTGATTTTAAAGCTCATGCGATGATCTATGCTTTAGGATTACTTTTAAAATTTATCGATAAACATTGGAATACTATTACTCTAGCTCCTTCTGGCAAAGCATCTTTTATCTCCTTGAATTGCATTACTTTGTAAGTGTCTTCTTATTTTATTCGACCCAATTATTTAACTAAAGTTTTAGTTATATTTTAAGATATATTGTTAGATAACAACAACAATGACATTTTTATTTTTCCTTCTAAAGGGAAAAGCTTGTAATGATCGACGATGACTCTTACAAAGCATTAAATATCGTTCAAACAAAATATCATCCAAGTTTCTTTAAATTCGGTAATGCGTCTACAAAAATGCAAAGTGGTAGCTTATTTGCATTATTAAATTGTTGTCAGTCGAGGCCAGGTGTACAATTTTTATGGTTGGTATTAATATTTTAAATATATATATTTTTCTCTTATAGGAGATATCAACTGATTTATTTATTTATTTATTTATTTATTAATCATCATAGGAAAACAATTCGGCATCCAACAAGAGACATCGTAGTACTCAATCAAAGATTCGACGCGATAGACTTTTTCTTGGACCCAACAAATCACAGTGTCGTTGAAAATTTAACAACTTGTTTGAAAGATATTTATCGTTTAACAAATGCAATACTTAGTCGTTATTTAGGCCCACGAGCGAGAGCTTCGGATTGGCAAAGATTGCATAAAGTTTGTCTTCCTATTTCGGAATTTTTAATTGAAACAATTAACATAATAACTAAAGTATATATTTTTTGTAGACTGTTACTAACATAATTTACATCGCGTATATCTGCGAGAATTATGACGACAAGATAGAATTATTCAGAAAAATAGTTAACACTATTACGGATGAAATGCATTACGTGAAATATTTCATTGAATTAATTGTTGATTTTGAAGCGAGCAAACGTGAGAATACATTTGTTGTTAGATCCGACGTTGATCCTCAATTAGACGAGCGTAAGTTTATTTTTCTTTTTAATTCTACTTGTGTTTCAACTTTATCATTATATTTAAACTTTTGTAGTACGTAATCGAAAATACGCGTTACCTCAACTTTTAACAAAAATGGGAGAAAAAGATATGCAAGATAATCTTCCCACATCTGTTACAAGTTGTAATATGGTTTATCTACCAAATATCGGTTACGTATTGGCTATAAAACAATGGGAACGTACTCCACCCGAGGCAGATGATATTCCTGGTTTAGAATTTAAATTTACGATAAACGGTGTACATTATTATAAGAGTCCTTGTGCTAGAGGTTCGTGATACAAAATCATACTACAATGAATCGCTTTACTTAAATGTGTTTTATCTTGTTGAATTATAATAATTATAGAATTAGACAATAGCATAGGAGATATCATGTCGAAAATAACGAAACGACAAAGTGAAATTATGTTAAAATTGGTACGCTATATAAACAAACATGCAAATTCTATATTAGTTGCAATACAACTGTGTGCAGAATTAGACACGTGAGTAGATATAATTTTGATATAATAGAAATAAAGGTCGAATGACATCGCATAATTTTCACGTCAGCTTTTTAACATGGCGACTTACGTCAGATAAAAAATAATAGATAAAAAATGCGTTCTCTATCGGTTGGATGATAATTGTAGAAACACGACAGCCGGGTGTATGGTCTATCATTAGAAAATTTCTTTCTCTTCCGGCAGATTGCTATCCTTCTCCCAAGTGGCACGGAATCATAATTACGTGAGACCAAATGTGGTCATGTCGCAAGTTATAGCTGTGAAACAAGGACGACATCCTTTACAAGAATTTCATACCACATATGTACCGAACGATATTTATTCTGGACAAGGGAAAAGCCTTGTCAAAATTATAACCGGTCCGAACTCTTGCGGAAAGAGTATATATCTTAAGCAGGTGGCACTTATAGTGTTCATGGCTCATATCGGTTGTTTTGTACCTGCTAAATCTGCGACCATTGGTGTTATGACTCATATATTAACACAAATTGTTACTATAGATAGTATTTCGTTAGATGCGAGTGCATTTTTGCAAAGTCTTCGACAGGTAACACATTTCGTTACAAACGAACCGAATAAATTCATAACAATCATTTATTTACAGATAAATATGGCCTTGTATGCGTCTACCCCAAATTCACTCATAATAATCGACGAATTTGGCAAAGGCACATCAGAGATAAATGGTCTTTCATTACTGACTGCCGTTCTAGATAGCTTCGCGGAAAGAGCCATTTATTGTCCTCATGTATTCGCTGCAACTCATATTCATCGCGTAACAGAATTGTTGCTTGAAAATTCGATGATTGAAGCTCAAGTACTTTAATCATTTCCAATTCGTTCATTTGTCAGAACACTGTATTAAATCTAGTTTATTGTTTCCAGACTTTTGAATTCATAACAAACGAGGACGAATCTCTTGCATTTCTTTATCGTTTAGTAGTTGGAAATACTACTTGCAGTTTTGCGCATTCCGTAGCGAAAAGTGCTGGTCTTAACGAACAGCTTATAAAGCGCAGCTTGGAGGTATTTTTAATCTTGGCAAAATTTTATTATATATATATATATATATCTTAAACATTCGCGTCTTTTGAATTGTTTTCATTAATATAGGTCTTTAAGAACTTAAAACAGGGAACTCTTCCTTCGCGTATACCCGAAGTTCAACGAAAAGATACGTAAGTCCAACCCCATATCCCTAAACGCACGAGATCGTATAATCTTTTATTTTATTATTATAATTTTAGGGTAAAACATATCATCGAGAAAGTAGTCGTTCCAGATGTTGATTTTGATATAGAAGAACTCAAGTCGTGGGTACGCCAAGCGATATTACCATCGTCCAACAAATTTTACTAAATTAAATATAAATATTCGAATTTGATTTGAATCACTCGAAATAAAATGTTTTATTTTTCGTTTCGACGTAATATTTGAATTGAAAAATTGCCGCCAAATGTTGCTAGCGTTAAAGTTTCAAATTGTAGTTGAGAGATGGCAGTTGAAGCGCCTCTTAGGAAATGGTTGTTTGAGAGACGATTCCAGTAGATGGCAACTCGAGCAATTCAGGGCGAGCAGCCAACCACGAGCAGCCAACCGCGAGCTGGCGCTCGCGATCTTTCCGTTGTCAATAACGGACAACACTGGCAGTATCCCGGCAGAAAAGTGAACGTCTGTCTCTCGCTTGATTCAATGTACCTTCCCCGGATGTGATTCGTAAAGGCGATTTCAAGCGTGTACCCGTTATCTCTGTGTACGTTTAAAGTTATCGCGATCGGCGTTTTAGCGCGCTTCGTTTTAACGTCGTCGAGAAAAAGACGAGAACGAAGACGACTAGTGGTGTAGAGCGTCTCTCGTCTTGATGATCGTCGTCGCGTCAACCGACGACGAGTACTATCAAATTATCAGAAAAAGGAAGAAGGAAGACAAATAAGCAAGCAGGAAAAAGAGATTAATCCTTGTCGAAACGTTCCGCGTGCGGATCCGACATTTGAAAGGATATTTGAAACGACAATCGGGCGTGTGCATTGCTCGGGGAGAGTGAAAGAGACGACGCCTGTTTTTTACGTTTGAACGGAACGGTAGGTACGATACCAAAGGAACAAAAGGAACAAGAGAAAGAAGAAGAAAAGGAAGACAGTGACTCTCGTCGTTCTTATTCGTTCTTATTCGTCAAGCGAGTTGAAGAAACATCGCGATCGTCTTTACGATCGGCGCCACCGCAAGCGCCGCTGCTCTCTCTCTTTCTTTCTCTCTCTCTCTCTCTCTCTCTCTCTCTCTCTCTCTATCTCTCTTTCTCTCTCCCACGTCTTTCTCACGTCTTTCTCGACGATTTCCGACCGTTTTCGTTAACTCGACGTGTGTTGGCAGAAACTAACGTACACCCTTGCAGAAACGGCTCCTTTCTAACCGCCGAGGATCATCCGAGCTTACCATTTTGGAAAAGAACGTCGAAATTTGAAATAAAAGGAAAGAAGTCATCTTTTATGCAGCCGAAGGACTAAATGACCATGGACCGCGGCATGTGCAACATCGAAACCGGCAATAGCATAAACATCAAGAGAACTGACGGTGAGTGCATTGTCGTCCTTCTGTTTTTTTGTCTTTATCCTTACCCTTACCCTTACCCTTACCCTTACCGTTGCTGACTGTTGTTAGAGAGAGAAAGAGAATTTTCAAATTTTCGCGGCATTCTAGCCTTCATCTCCTCTTATCATCTTTTGCGCGTGAAATTTGCCGCGAACGGTCTCCCTCCCCCCTTCCATTTGTCTAGCGGGTGTATCGATAAGGATTTGAGCAGCCCTTCGCGAAGTCGACCGTTAAAATATTTCGCGCGTGGGCTCTCTCTACTTCTCCAACATCAGCTTCATGACCGGTTCTCTTCTATATCGTTTCTTTTCCAATCTTCGCGTTCCCATACACAATTCGCATTAGTATTTGCTTTAGTTTTTCAACTAATTTCCTCGTGACCGTTGGGTGTGACGCCATATTGGCATTTTTTCATCTTATTTTATGCCCCCCTCTCGTTCTTTAAATTATCGAGCGTCTCGTATTATCACTTGAAAACTGTGACGGTTGTACCGTGGTTGTACCGTGGTTGTACCGCGGTTGTACCGCGGATGAACAACGGAACATGTTCTCGTACCCAAATCGCCGGTATAAACATCTATCTTTCATTTACTAATCCATGTTGTTCTCTGTTTACTTCACTCTTCTCTTTTGTCTTCATTACTCGCTAAACTTTTAAATTCATGATAATCAAAAGTATCGTAACGGTCATGTTCCGTGTGACGTTGCTACTAACTATATATAGCTTTTTTCTAACGTTTATTTTCAATCTCTCAAACTATTGTATGAAATAATTATAATTGTGAAGAAATTTCAAGTCAATTTATAGGCAAATGATGAAGATCTCTACACACGCATCTATACACTATTCGAAAGAAGTATTTCGATAGAATCTCGTGTCCTTGGCGTAGCCTTCATCGTTAGCCGAGCATCGATCTTTCATTCTCTAGCTGCTTTATAATTTGGAACGTTTACACGAGAAAAAATATTAACATGCAACATAGAAAAGGATGGATCGCAATATCTATTATCATTTAGATCGAGTTGAATTTCTTGAAATGGGACAACAAGAAGATATCATCATCATCATCATCGCTTGTTTATTGGCGCGAACAAAAATTCTACGTACGAGTTACAATGCTTTCTTTTTTTCTTTTTTTCTTTTTTTCTTTTTCCAAGAAATGATAACGTATTCGTTATCGATCTCTTGAAAATGTGCTGCTCGTAACTGTTTACCCAGGATTGTATGTTCATCGAAATCGCTTATTTAAACTTGATTATCTCAATGATTATCAAACGACGAACGTATAGACAGGAAACAAAAGTTCCAAATTTTACGGAAGAAAAAGGTTTTGCATACACTTGCATGACGATCGATTCAAATATATGCTTTTTATCTATTTAGTTTTCTTTCTCTACTTGTAAATTGGCTCGTTATCTCGTTGTAGCAAACTTTATCGGTAACAAAAACTCTGTTCAATGCCTATGAAAGCGATGATAATAGGCACCAATTCGTGTCATTGTTAACCACTTTGCAACCATATTTATAATAATATTCAAATTTTGATGACATCCCAAAGTTTGTAGCGAGCCATTTATCTTGGTTAGACCGGAATAACTTTTAGTTGTCTTCTCGGAAATCGGAAATTTTATATTCCTTCAAGATAAATGTCCGCATTCTTGGCCGCAGTATAGAAGAGAGTTTCTTTCTCTTTCTCTCTCTCTCTCTCTCTCTCTCTCTATTTCTCTTGGCAGAAAACAGCTTGTGGTATGAGTCATGCATTACAGGTCCCCTCGTTTAAAGTTTACAATTTACTCGTTACTCCTGTGTAAGGTCCTACGTATAGGTGCGATCGATAATTAACGATAGGTACATCGAATATTTGCAAGCACGCAAAGATTCTTTTTCCAAAAGATTCTAACTTGTACTTGTAAATATAAATTCATGCCGATCCAAATTCAACATCATCCTATATCTACGCGAATTCTTTCCTGCACGGGACCGCAACGTACTGGTGGTGGTCGATTTCGCATATATCGATCGGAGAACGCTCGAATGCCAACATTAAAGCCGACGATTCATTCGCTGCAATTCCATACTTATACTTTGACTTTGATTTACTTTATTTACTATTATGTTTCAATTATGTAATATCTCTTAACGGTGGATACAAAAAATTGTCGAGTTTAATTCTAACACCACTATGTAAGGTCTCTGTTCGTCCTTGACTATAACATATCAGTGGAATCTTATCACTCGAGAATTAGTTTATCTGAATATTTATGTCTCAGGACTCCGAATTTGAAATGTATCTTTTAGAAATGTTTATATACACAGAGAGATTTACTCATAGTTAAATGTATGCAGAAATAGAAACACAAGTATATTACTAGATGGTCGTCGGCAAGGTTTCTTTTGCTTGCTTGCTTGCTTGCTTGCTTGCTTGTGTTCTTCAACGTCGAATGAGTCAGATCGTTTTCCAAGAAAGGGAATTCTCTCTTTCTCTCTGATGGATATAACACACATGCAAAGGAATCCATGTAAAACATCGTGCATGGTTACTAACTACGCTTGTTCAATATTCGATTCCAAATAGATAGCACAAGAAGTAAAATTCCTTCTTACCGGAGCACTTTGGAGAGACGAGTTTCGAAAAAGGAAGAAATTTCTGTTAAAAAAAAGCTTACCTTCGGCTCCTTTTCACGATCTTACAATTTGAAGGAGACAACCAACAAATTAACTAAATCTAATCTCCTTGCTAAGTACTCTGATTATGGAATTCTTTTTCCGAGGTTATCCGGAACAAGATCATCTCGTATCTTTGGTGAAAGAAATCATGGTCAATCGAGAAAAAACAGGAGTAGAATCGTCGTCGCCATAAACAAGTTTCAAATGCTTTACATTGCATAAATCTAAACGTATTTCTAACAATAAGACGATCTCTATCTTGTTACATCATAATACACACAAAGATACACACACGGATCTTTTCGTACGGCTTTATAACGAACACGTTTTGGTTCGTTAGCGAACTTAACGGTCATCCAATTAATTTTTCCACAACTTCGGACGCACAATTGCCGTGACAAGTTACAGGCATTTAACAAGTATTACGGTTAACCCGTTAGTAGCGTACATTTGATGAAAACTTGCGGTTCATCTATTAACGCCATCAAATTTCAAAGTCAAATCAACTAAGGCCAAGAGAATAGGATTATGATAATGTGATAGTAATGATTTGGAATTATTCGAGATTCGTCTATATGCGGTTTATTAAACACACAGAGAAACATAGGTATACGTGGGAGTCGCATAATCGATAGGAGGATATACACAGTGCAACGCCAACGAAAATTAGTTTCGCTCGATTTGCTTCATTGAAATTGCACAAAGGATTGCGAATCTCGTTCGCAGTCACATGTTAACGCGTACGCAAACATCGATATCAATAAAAAGACCAATCCTTGTATAGAATGACACTGACGATCGATCCTTTTTACAGGTTGGGATGTAAAAAGTAGGTAGGAATGACACTTGTCTATATGCACCTTATACCATGGAAACAACGTATAGCTTTATCGATAGTCATCCATCGGTATACAAACAGCAGCATCAGCAAAATTGTCTTCTTTTTCAAGAAAAGAAGTAGAAGAAGAAGTGAAGGAGAATCTCAAAGAATACTCTCTCGAGTATTGTCGTCAACGATTCGTAGCGAAATTTTATATCCAGCTCATTGATCTTGTTGTTGTTGTTGTTGTTGTTATCTTATGCATTAAAAGAGGCATTCACGGACAGTGCAGGTCTATTTTCGGACAAGCTCTATT